AATATCTGGTACATGTACGTTTCTTCCTATATACTATATTCTACTATAATATCTAGTCTATGTACGTTTCTTCCTATATACTATATTCTACTATAATATCTATTCTATGTAAGTTTCTTCCTATATCCTATATCCTATATTCTACTATAATATCTATTCTATGTAAGTTTCTTCCTATATCCTATATTCTACTATAATATCTAGTCTATGTAAGTTTCTTCCTATATACTATATTCTACTATAATATCTAGTCTATGTAAGTTTCTTCCTATATACTATATTCTACTATAATATCTATTCTATGTAAGTTTCTTCCTGTATCCTATATTCTACTATAATATCTATTCTATGTAAGTTTCTTCCTATATCCTATATTCTACTATAATATCTATTCTATGTAAGTTTCTTCCTATATCCTATATTCTACTATAATATCTATTCTATGTAAGTTTCTTCCTATATCCTATATTCTACTATAATATCTAGTGTGGATTATACTTTCAATATACATTTCCATTCTAATTAAAAAAAAGGACCACTCATAAAATCAATTTTTTGCAAAGTGTTTATTTCAGTACTATTTCAACACACATTTGTAATAACTTTAAGATTAAGCCACACTTGGAGCATTGTGCTCGGTCTTGGGTGCCTTACCTTAGCAAAGACATTGAATTGTTTGAAAATGGTTCAGAGAAGACATATTAAGATGATACCTCGAATAGAAAGGTTGTCATGTGATTAGAAGTTAAGATATCTGAAATTGTTTTCTCTTGAAAAAAGAAGAATTAGAGGGGATCTGATTGATGTGTTTACGATTGTTAAGGGAATTGATAGTGTTGATACATAATCTTGTTTTCGTACTTAATGTTGAGAATCATAAGACTAGAGGACACAAATATGAATTTTGACAATGTAGGAGTCAGTTAATACCTTTGGAACGGGTTGTCTTCAGATGTGGTAGATGCGATTTAATTTAAGGGAGTATAAAGGAAGGAATGATAAATATTTGAATTACAATGGTTGCTTTTGACTGCAATGTCTTCATTTTGAAGTTTAATTTTGTGGATCGGGAGGCCATGACGGACCAATAGGTCCCTTGTCGTCCTTAAAGTATGTGTACTAGCAGAAACGTCGCCCAAACGTTGCTAATCGTAGTAATCACACCTCATTGAAAAACAATTTTAAAAAGTGAGCATCTCCTTAGAAAGGATATTTTTCTGGGAAGTACTACACAGGAAAAGTGTTCGCATTGTGCTCGTTAATCATACGTAGCTCATTGCATCAAAATATTCAATGTATGGAGCTAAAATTTTTCATAAATTTTGCTGATATAAATTGTAATGTTTTATATATCAAAAGTGGTATCGTTTATTGGAAAGATAATAGTTTTTAAGACCTCCAGTTTCTCAGTACTACATTTAAAAATTACATCAATAAAGATATAATCAAACCCTCACGTACAGTCCTAGTGAAAATCGCGTTCTTGTAGTGAGGAGAGTACTTCTATTTAAAATTGTGTTGTATTATAAATGAATGGTTATTCCACATACCATAGTTATTTTTCTAACTGTTTGAATTTTGAATACCCAAAGTGTGAAATTTTTACGGATGCTTTTTTGTGGGCCCATTCAATAGATAGCTCAGGAGTTTTGGTTACATACATAGATATTGACACACGCTACATCCATTATAGTAAGATTGATGTGTATATAAAAGAGACACAGGTTTTCTTTTTAAACACTGAGTTTACTCGTCTTCAAGATATAAATAATTCATTTCCAGCAGATGCAGAACCTATAGCATTAGAAACATCATACCAATTTAAAAGGCTTTAAAACAAATTTAATAAGTTAGCTTAAAATAAAGAATGTCGCAGATAAAACTCGGATAATCTTGTTTCTTAGTTTTAAAGTGATATACGTGTTTATCCTTTCACTTCGTATGGGTTAAATAAAGATTAATTTTTGTTTTCTAAATACATAGGACTTTATATAACGAAATGTAGCTCGAGCAACATTTGCTTTCAGTTGACATGTGACTGACTATCATTTAACTCAAGGTATTCTCTAGAAACAACTGATCTATGTTGTTACTCTAGAATGAAACAAGGATTTATGTTGTTATTAAAAATGAAACAATGATCTATGTTGTTACTCTAGAATAAAACAAGGATTTATGTTGTTATTAAAAATGAAACAATGATCTATGTTGTTACTCTAGAATGAAACAAGGATATATGTTATTATTAAAAAATGCAACAAAGATTTATGTTGTTATTAAAAAATGCAACAATGATCCATGTTGTTACTGTAGAATGAAACAAGGATTTATGTTGTTATTAAAATACAACAATGGTTTATGTTGTTACTCTAGAATGAAACAAGGATTTATGTTGTTATTAAAATACAACGATCTATGTTGTTACTCTAAAATGAAACAAGGATTTATGTTGTTATTAAAATACAACAATGGTCTATGTTGTTACTCTAGAATGAAACAAGGATTTATGTTGTTATTAAAATACAACAACGATCTATGCTGTTACTCTAAAATGAAACAAGTATTTATGTTGTTATTAAAAAATCCACCATTGATCTATGTTTTACTATAGAATGCAACAGTAATCTATGTTGTTTCTATAGAATAGCCCATTGATCTGTTTGTTGTATTTTAATAACAACATAAATCCTTGTTTCATTCTAGAGTAACAACATAGATCATTGTTGCACTTTTTAATAACAACATAAATCCTTGTTACATTCTAGAGTAACAACACAGATCATTGTTGCATTTTTTAATAACAACATAGATCCTTATTTCATTCTACAGTAACAACATAGATTATTGTGTTTGGATAATTGTATAAAGCCAGAAACTCTCTTTCAGTTACATACGATACAACTAATCATGCAACATGGACGAAAAGATCGCACCTTGCAAAATGTGGGTTAATAGTTTTCGATCTAAGAAAAGTAAGTGGTAATGAAATAAGTTAATTATTTGAATGAAATATTAAAGCAGTGTAAGACTAATCTCTTCTAAGTACTGACAACAATAGCAGAGATGTTATTACATAAACTGACACGTCAGGCGCTGTATGGTATGACGCACTGGCTTCTGTTGTCATTGGAAAACTCCTTCCTTTGCGAGTGTCATGGTCTTCATACTCAGTCAGCTCGTGCCATGTCCCCTCTAAGGTACGTATAGAGAAGATATAATTAAGTAATTATTTTTAAAATGGATACAACATAAACAAAGGCATTGCTACGTGAAACAAGGATTATAATAACAAAACCAAAATAGTGCTAAATCAAAATATTCACACTAAAACACGAGAAAAGGATTACTACAACAACACTAAAATGCTAATACGACAGAACAGCCACACTACAACACAGAGCAAGGATTGTTATAACAGAATTATTACTCAACCATTACCATTTGCTGATAACTTTATCTAGAAACACATTTCGCAACATTACCATGTGCTTATAAGTTTACCTAGAAACACATTCACAGCAATACTATCATGTGCCGATAACGTTACCTAGAAACACATTCACAGCAATACTATCATGTGCCGATAACGTTACCTAGAAACACATTCACAGCAACATTACCATGGGCTGATTATCTTTACTTATAGATGCAATTCACAACAATAGTACTAGGTGCTGATAAGTTTACCTCGAAACACATTCACAGCAACATTGCAATTGGGCTGAATATCTTTACTTAGATACACATTCACAACAACATTACCATGTGTTGTTAACTTATAAACACGTTCACATCAATACTACCATGTGCTGGTAATATTATCTAGAAACACATTCACAACAATCTTACATTGTGCTGATAACTTGACCAAGAAACACATTCACAACAATATTACTAGGTGCTGATATATCGACATGTGCTGATAACTTAACATAGAAACTCATTGAGCAATATTGTCACGTGCTGAAAAGTTTACCTGGAAACACACTCACAACAACATTGTGCTGTTAACTTTCCTTAGAAACATATTCACAACAAGATTACAATGTGCTGGTTACTTTACCTAGGAACACACTGCTAACAATATTATCTTATGCTGATAACTTTACCTAGAAACATATTCATAACAATATTACAATGTGCTGGTTACTTTACCTAGGAACACACTGCTAACAATATTATCTTGTACTGATAACTTTACCTAGAAACAAATTCAGAATAATACCATCTTATACTCATTAATAACCTTCTACTAATATGTAACCTTGATTCTATTGGTTAATTTTACGCACTTCCCGTTCCGTCAGGAAACTCTTGAGACCATGACGTCGGTGTTCGTGTAAAGTTTCTTCCCCATTGTTCACTGCTGTTTATATTTATGTTAGTCGTTAGGGGAGAATCACGTGTAATTGACGTTGACCAATGATCATCCCGGGGTTCGAGAGCTTTTCCTGACCTGACAGTATCATCATTTATAGCAGTACTTTGCTCTGTCTGACCGATCGTCACTATCTGTGTTTCTTGAGGTTTTGAGCTGAACAAATATTCAGATAGTCTTTCTTCATCGTAGTTTTTGGGGATATAAGGCGTTGATATTGACTCTTCTTCACTTATATCTTCCGCGGATGCTACAAAATACGAGACAAAACAGTTATTTCATCAAAAGTCATCATTAGACAAAGAAACAAATAATAATACATTTATTTTGTTGGCAGACATCTTCATAGCTTGTATGGATTCAGGTTGAAAACACACGTTAACCAACAGAGAAGCGTTATAATAACTTTTCACATTTCTGAGTAGACGTGATAAAGTTATCCATGATGAATTGGATTGATTATTTAGTGATTAAAGGGTTTAACGTGACTAATGAAACGGTTTATTGACTTTCTACTTTGTACGATGAAACGGAATGTTTGAGTATGTCCCTGTAAATACACTAATTGCTAGAGTTTGAGTATATCCCTGTAAATACACTAATTACTAGAGTTTGAGTATATCCCTGTAAATACACTAATTACTAGAGTTTGAGTATATCCCTGTAAATACACTAATTACTAGAGTTTGAGTATATCCATGTAAATACACTAATTACTAGAGTTTGAGTATATCCCTGTAAATACACTAATTACTAGAGTTTGAGTATATCCCTGTAAATACACTAATTACTAGAGTTTGAGTATATCCCTGGAAATAAACTAATTACTAAAGTTTGAGTATATCCCTGTAAATAAACTAAAACTGAATGGTTGTGTATATTCTTGAAACTACACTAATTATCAGAATCTGAGTATATCCCTGTAGATACACTAAATATCTGGATTTTGGTGGATTCAGAACTTCACCTTTTTATATACAGGTACATACAGGTTTTAATAATAGACAGATAATGGCCCCCCAGTGGCACAGCAGTATGTCTGCGGAATTATACTGCTAGAAACCGGTGGGCAGATCACAGATAGCCCTTTGTGTAGCTTTCTGCTTCATAACAAACAACAACATAATCAGATAATGACACGTTGACAAAAGTATGAATAATTCAAGAGCGTTTAAGGTCAATTAATACCGCAAGTTGACTTCACTGACAAACTCATCCATTTTATTATTCTTTCAACAAATGACGTAGAAGAATCTGAGTATTCAGTTCTTATTAAGCAAGAAAAACATAGCAAATATTCGAGTATTTCTACTTTAAGATAGCACTTACCGTAGCTTTGCTGTTCACTTCTTATAAGAAGTACATAAAACAATGTTAGTTTCCACAAACTTTGAGCTTTGAGTCCTCTAAGCATCACGATGATTCAGAAAAGTACTCCTAAGTATAACATTATTGTAGCCTAGCAACCCAACTTAAAAATGTGCTTACTTATTTCAATCAAGAAGCTGCGATGGGCGTTTTTCCAACAGGTGTAGCCAATCACTTAAAACAGCACAGCGTTCCAGCTCCTTACTTTTTTTGGACAGCTGCCAAAATATGAGCAGCAGACTACAAGTAAACAAACCACGTGCTAAAACTAAGGTTGGTGACTTCGTCAGGCAAACAACACGTTCACAGGCGGTTTGTTACAAATACCGTGAGACGATCAGCCCATAATAAGTTTAATTCTTGTTCTGAAGCATGTTGTCTTAGTTTATCTTTCCCACTGACCTAGAACATCTAACCTCTCTCAAGTTAACGAAGTACTTTATACATTCTTTAGAAGAGCTGGAACTTTGTGTTCCTTTAACGCCATCTCGCGGCAGAACGTGTGCTAATGAACCTGACATATAGTAGTCGCCTACACAAGTTGTTTTGTGATTGTATTTTTTAACTTATAATTCTAGGGAAGGTAACAACCAAAATCGTGCTCGTCGTTGAGTACAAAGTTGTAAAATGGGCTATAATCCATAGCATAGATCGAACCCTGATTATTAGTGTCATAAGCCCTCAAGATTACATAGGCATGCGAATGTTTTATTGTCTTGAAATTTTTACATGTTCTACAGTAATTCCTGTACGCTGAATCCGAAAATGATATTCATTTTTCTCCATCACGTACAGAATTTTCACAAAACGTCATAACGCAATACATAAAAGAAAAAACCACAACACGTAGTTCTGAGACTAAAAGACGTAGATTTCACACACACACAAAAAAAATCAGGATGAATGAGGATGCATATTCGTTTGACATCAAAGTTCTTCCCGTTTCCTCAGTTTGTTTGTACTTTTGTTAACAAATGTATTAATAAAGAATGTTCATTGAGGTAAACCAAATAATAATTTGATCTACATAAAAGTTTTTTCCTTCCCGATTTGTACAAAAATCTTTACGTGATAGAAAAAAATAAATATTAATTTCTAAATCTGCGAAGTTGAGTTACGAAAAATCAGTTATTAAAACCAAAACAACTTTTATGAAGTTTAAATTCGCAGGCCTGTGTTACCACTGAGTAGCACTTGTTGCCTGGGGTAGAAATTATAGCTTTATTAGGTTTCATTGTTTATAAGGAAACTGAAACTAAGTTGTGAGGTAATTAAAATTGATTAACTATATAAAATATATCATCGTCACTTATTAATGAAACAGAGTATTTTTAATCATTTTAATTTTGGAGCTGA